ATCTCGATGTGCGATGTCCCTTCAGGGCCACCATTGATGTTTCTATTTGCTTCCCCAAAATAATTATTCCTCCCAAAGAAAAACGGGGACTTAACTCAGCAGGAATACACGCACTCAATTGAAAGCTCCATGAAGGTTCCCTGCAGGTTCCTGGGTGCAACACAAATCAATTTCAGTACTTTAATAATGAGTGGAATTCTGGAAAAATAGTTCAACTGAGACTGAGACTCACGGTGGACATTTTCAAATCCCCTTAGCCGCGACCATCTCTCTCAGCGTTGCTGTCGGTATAAGCAATAAATCCCGAGGGGTGGGAGGGAGGGGAGGATATATCCCCCCAAAGCCCCCACACCATGGCCCACCCCACGCCCACCTTTTTTTACTGGAAGATGGGCCATTGCAAGCATCCCCCGCGAGATTGAGAAACAAAAAAAATCATAACTACCCAAAATAGCACCGAAAAAGGAAAATTGAAAGCACAAAAGCTTTAAATGCACCGTCTTGATAATAAAACCTGCAGTTTGCATTATAGATGTACATGTACATTAATTTTTGTGGAGTTGGATCATCCCCACCCTCCCATTCGCCGGCACTTGCTTTCAACAATAATCTTCTCTCCAACCGCGTTTATGCTATACAGCATTCTCGTCCCCAGGGCTCGAGCAGTACGCGCCCACCACTACCTGCTCTCTCACCCTGGTATTCGATCATTTGCATAAGCAACTTGATTTTTGAATACGTATGCAAATGTGGAATAGTCTGGTGCCTGCCTGTGCGTTACATTTGCGTTTAACCTCGTCCCCAGTACTTAGTTTATTTCCAACCGCGTTTTCAATAGTCAGCCCTGGATAGGAAACTTTCTTCCTGTATCCTGATTCGATACCGCAATTTGCTAGTAATGGATTTATATCGTGTAGTTGGTGTTGTTATTTCCAACGTGCATTACGTGTTTAATATGAATATGTGATTAATATGAAATGTGATACTGCATATTGGCGAGCCAGATTGTAACATTTTAACTTTTAAAAAATCGAGTTTTCAGAACTCACCGCGCAACGAATTAATGTGAGATTTTACCCCAGACATCGCATACAAAAACAAATGCTAATGTAATGCATTCGTGTTCAAAAATCTTGCACATGCAAATGATCGAATACCAGGGTGAGAAAGCAGGTAGTGGTGGGCGCTGCTCGACACCCTGGGGACGAGGTTGATTTTGCGTTTGTTTTTATATGCGGTGTATGGGGGGGGGAATCAATTCGTAACAGCGCGAGCATGGCGTTAGTTACGAAAACACGATTTTATTTTACGATCTTAACGAGACAACATGCAGTATCACATTTCATATTAATATGAACAAATTGGAAAGGAAATGAATGTTTTCGAGAAGGCGTGGACGAATGATCGCGAAAACACGTACTGCACGTTAAGAACAACAACACCAAGTTCACGATAAAAATCCATTGGCCAATTGCGGTATCAAATCAGGATACAGGAAGAACGTTTCTTATCCAGGGCTTACTATTAGAAAGGAGGTTCGAAATAAAGTAAGCACTGGGGATGAGGTTGGCTATACAGTACAATGCTTCTTCTTTCCGAATTTGAATTTCATCAGATTGGAACACCACCCTCCCCCCCCCCCCCCCCCCCGCTATTTCATGAGAATTTTCTTGGATGAACTTTCCTGATTTTTCCTTTAAAAATGTTATTGAAATCACCATATGGTAATAATAAACATTACATAGCCTATAAACAGGTGTAAATTCTCAGTTTCTCAACAACAAAAATCTTCGAAGCTGCGGCACATTCTCCTCATCTGCAACTTGCTTTCAAGTGTTCATCCGTACAGATTGGGGCTTCGGCTCAAAATGTGGCTATGACACCTGACTCATTGAGTTCCATAGAGGCCCCTAATTTGGTCGGTTTTGTTTGTACCAAAAAAAGGGGTTTTCTTTTAATTCGCATTTTTGAGATTTCTTTGAATTTTCTTTCGGATTTTAGATTTCATTAACATTTCTTTGAGTTTTGCATTTCCACAGAAATTTCCTTTGCTGACGTTAAAACATTTTATGTAGAATAAAGAAAGTAAAGTGGAAGCACTGATGCTAAATTTTGGTTTCTGCAACGTACACCTACATTATTATAAATAGTTTATACACAGAAAACGGGTATGTTTCCTCCGCACAAGGAATGTGTTGCTTTTTTTCCATTAAAGTTGACTTTCATTTTTTTCGCATTTTAAACAGTAAATTGCTTTGGTCATGTTAGTTTTATTGTTTGACGATTTGTGAAATTCAAATTCCTAAATTGTATGCTACCCATGACCAAATTCACTTCTTTAATACATAAGGTATTTTTTGAGTAAATTGTCAATTGGAACAACGATCTGTGCTGTTTTTTAGTAGACGTTGGCTCGACCTAATCGGACAGTTTGATTTGTATCCGTGTTGACAAACATATTTTGTTGTCGTAACCACTTTTTGTGCGGCACGCCCTCTATTGAAAGATTAGAGTTAGCCTGGTTTGTCAGCTCGCCCTTTTTCGACAGAAACTTTCAGTTGACAAAAGTGCATGGGTAACATTTATTTGCAAAGTACAGGGTGAGTCAAAAAATGGAACCCAACCCCCAAAATATATTTTATGTTTAAAACAATTTGTATCACCAAAAATAATAATGACTGGAAAGTCAATTTATGCTACTTTTAGGTGAAAAATTTACTGTAATTGCTCAATCCGTTCAAAGAAAGTCACCATTTAAACACAATGACCATAAATCCTCTTTTGTCCAAAAATGCGATTTCAAGAATAGTCGTAACAATACAGATATTGTGTACTCTGTTGTTGACAGTTGTTAAAACAAACATTCTGTGTCATTTTCTTTGTTGTTCCAAACAGAATCATGAACACAACAAATTGGGGCTTTTTTTGGAGTGGGACGAAACAGGTTTTAGGGTCATTGCATTAAAATTGTGATATTCTTTGAACGGATTGAGTAATTTCAGTAATTTTTTACACAGCTTATTGTTTAAACATAGTTTGGAGTCAGTGAATCTAGTAATAGGCTACATTTTTTTGGCTTTTCAAAGATTGACACCTTCATTTTATTTAAAGGCGCAGTAAGCGACTATCCTAGCTTGAGAGAGGAAGATTATGTCCACTGCAATGATCAGCCGTATATTTCAGTACGTATTTGATTATACTTTTACAGTATCATTTCAATCAGGCCTTCAAGTTCAAATTGGCCGGCGCCCAAAAGACTGGCGCATCCTGCTATAACATAGATGGCCTTAGTCTGCTGAATGGGGCGAGAATGGGGCGAGGGGACAAGGATGTCGGGATATGAGGGCGTGTGGCGCACCCCCTCCCCCACCCCAAACAAACAAGTTCTACTCACCATATTTTTTTAATTTTTTTTTTATTGTTTTGCTGAATTTTAGCAAATAATGCCCACTTTTTGCAGCGGCGTAGCCAGGGTTCTCAGCTACACAGGTTTTTTTCGCCGGGCACCTGCCCTCCGTAAAATCAAATAGCGGGGGGGGGGGGGGGGGGGGGGACTGGACACCATCTTCCCATGGGGGAACTGCTCAAAACATATATCATGGCTGCGTTAGACAATAACTTATTCGCTTTCCAAGGGACGTTGCAATAAACAGTCACTCCCGGAAGCAAAAGAAAGTTTCGGTTACAATACGAATCGCGGAAATAAAGGGAAAAAATATGTTCTTCCAGCTAACATAGTAAGTTATATGGCTGTGCTTTTCTCCGATGCCCAATTTTCAGTTGGGGGCGACTGGGGGGCGCGAACTTTTTATGGGGGCGCCCCCCCCCCCCCCCCACCGCCGTAGCTACGCCGCTGCCCTTTTGCAGGAGTTCAGCGTAGGCTGTCTATTTGTTGTTTTCCATGTTTTTATTATTAGTTTTTTTTCTATTTAAATTATAACCAGCAGGCCAGTATTTAGTTATATTGAACAAAATCAGTACTATACACCTAGCCTAGTACTAGACTTGGGCCCTAGTATACTAAAATAATGAGCAATCGCCTTGCTAGCCCTAATAATATTAATATTTTTTTTCACATGCTAAATACCATTTCAAGTGGAAGTGGACAGCGCTACTCATGGGAAGCTGGTACCCCGTACTCATGATTCACGGAACACACGCGAATGACGTGATGTCTCGTGACAAACTTTCGCAAGGTTGACACTGCTGGAATTATGCAATGCGCTTGGCCATGATTCAAGTATGCGGGTAGCTTACGATTGTACATTATCATACAAACGGTTTTATTTTTGTCAGACTGTGTTGTTTATTCGTGTATGCCCTTGAATGCCGGAGTCTGCGACGCACCGAAAGAGATCCGGCTCTTTCAAGTTGCTGCCTTGAGCCAATAATACTTATTATAATATAATATTCTTGGCTAAGATCGAACGCGTACGGCACACGTAACAGCATAGTGCATGGGTGTACGTGTTTTTAACTTTAAAAAAATGTATGACCAGGAGCGTGTACAAACCACTTAAAGGGGGAGGGGTGACAACAAATTTGCCGACAGATCATCCGCCCCGCCCTCCTCAAAATCGAAAAGCGGGCGAGGGGGCGGACACCGTCTTCCTATAGGAGGGGAGCTGGACACCGTCTTCCTGACAGTTCTTTGCGTGACAAAAATATGCTTAACATTGAAAGAAATTACCTATTTCATTATTCCACCTCTGGTTGAAAAAGCTGGATATGTGCGCTTTAATTAATTCTCTATCGGTACCTCGCTATTCCAAATGTTTAATTATTTTGATAAATGCATGAACCAACAGTTATCAAATTTGACGTTATTCAAGTTTACAAAATGTCGATAATAGGCCAAAAATACTATTTTTGACCCAAACATGGGCAACAGATCCCTCTTACTCCTGCAGTGCAACCAAATTACGTCATAATCTGTTTTATACTTGTTTACTATTTGACCTGGATTATACAGATGATAATCAACCACGAATTAGAGAAGGTATCTTTCAACTTATGGTTTTTTTTATTGAACAAAAGTCTTTTAACATTGTTATCCATCAAAATAAAGATTGCTCCAATATAAAACTTTTATTTCTATTCATTTTTTGTAATTATTGAAATTAATCCATGTTTAAGACTTAGTATTTAAGTTACCTGGAAAAAAAAACACAGTTAATGATGAACTCAACTGCATGCGTCATCTTGCAGAACTTTCGACTGTCAAGCATATGAAAATGCTGATAAAAATGCTGACGAAATTTATTTCTAAAACAATGAGGATTCAACACAACAAACTTCACACGTTTGCAATCATCCAACATTGTAATCATCCGAAATTTACACAACACTTACAGTTTGCCATTTTGCAAAACAGTCCAGTATTCCTCAATTTTCAAAATCAATCAGGGTGCCAAATACCACCAGGACGCTTTTTTTTGTACCTCTCACAATATATCTCATAGGAAATGTTCCCTCCACCTGTTACTACCTAATTATTAACTGTCATTTTTAATTCATCACATGTACTGACTTTCATACAGGATGGACACATGCAGTAGTACTTTGCAGAATTTAGCTCTATTTTATAGGAAACACTACGAAAAGCGAATGTGACCAAACCAACTCCACATCTGCCTTTAATCCTCAAACATTTTGAAAGAAATATACAATGAAGAGAACCAAACAACGTTATCATTAATTTTCATAACTTTAACACTAACAGGGTGATCTGTCATCTCAAAATTGACGAAACAAACAAGAAGCAAACAAAAGTCCGTCAATGACAACCTGTTGTCTAATCGCATCCCACCGCTGCCACCTGTAAGCCTGTGCGCTTCTTCCTCGCTGATATGGTTGCCTTAGTGACGATCTTCCTATCAGATACTTGACCGATGGCAGTCATCAGATCGATGAAGATGGTAGTGAAGTTAATTCTCCAGCCCCACTCGCCTGCCTTGTAATCCCAAGGGAAGGTGTGATGGTAGTTGTGCCAGCCCTCACCGATGGCGAAGAAAGCGACGAAGCGATTCTCAGCCGGGTTAATGAAACGATCGTAGGGTTGAGACCCCCACAGATGGGCAGCGCTGTTGACCATCCACGTGCAGTTGAGTAGGAAACAGTAGCGTAGCACGGTGGGCACGCAGAAGGCATTCCAGAAGCTTTCTCCCCACAGATACATGGGAACAATGGTCGGCATCACGAAGCAAAAGAAGGTCATCAAAGGCAGGTAGTACCTGAAAACAATAACGAGCAATAGGGGATAACCATCAATAAAGCTTCAATGTGCAAACCAACTAAGATGCGAAACTATTCATAAGCACTTTCTTCTTCTGGGTAATTATGTTTGAACACAAATCGTGGCCATAAAATATTTAACAAAAAACACCTAAGGGTTTAACAGTGACACGATTAGAATCAAAACACTCACTTCCTCTGGTATCTGACCACTGGGTCATCAATGAGATCACGCAGGTCAATCCTGGAGCCTTTCTCGATGACCTTTGGGTGTTTACGGACCAAGAGCCAGCCAACATGGGAGAAGAAGAACCCTCTAGTGGCGTTATGGGGGTCAGCATCAGTCTCCGAGTACTTGTGGTGAACTCGGTGATCACGAGACCATTCATAGATGTCATTCTGATGGCAAGAAACAAGGACAATATATATTTATGTTTTAATGATGTAGAATCAAAATATAATGAGCTGCATGGATTATCCAGGTGTCCATCTTGGCCTGGCAGGCGTTCATTGGGTAAAGCTGTGATGAATGAAATACCTCCGTTATGAAAACCTAAGGTCAAAAACAGACAGACGTGTTTATCAATAGGTTTGAAGGGCAAAAACCTAATTTGATTTACATCACCCCGACGCAAAATTCCATCTTATGAATAGTTAATGCGGAACCCGCTGCTACATCAGATTCGAGACAGCCAACCGATCCCGTTAGCTCGGTGGTCGAGTGGTACGACGTCTGCACTAGAAAGCAGGAGGTCGTTGGTTCGAGTCCCATCCGAGTGATTTTTTCCCAACTTTCACTCGGGAGGTAACACACTGAGTATACAGTGTTTATACGTCGGTAAAGGGCAAAAACCTAATTTGATTTACATCTCCCCGACGCAAAATTCCATCTTATGAAAAGGTTTCCTTTAAGTATGTAAATTATCATTTCCACAGCCAAAAAAAGTAAAGAAAGACGGTCTGGAACATGTATTGCAGAAAAATATATATTTTGTAATGTCTCATTACCTGGAATGCCATGCAGTTGAACATAGCCAGAACAAGCCGTAGAGGGAGTTTTGCTTTGTAGCATCGATGGGCCCACAGACGATGAGCTCCAGCCGTTATGCCCAGGCCAGAGCAGAGAGACATGCCAACAGCTGCAACAATCACATCAATGATTCAATAGTGGTGCCCGGCAGAAGGGCATATGAGCGATCTGACGCAAAAATCGTTTTCAAGAAAATTGCAAAGGTTCTATTGTTCCCTCAGGTGTATTACGAATCCGATGTTCTCCCACGCGTATTATAAATCGTATGATTTTTAAATCTGTCACCTGTCTGAATCATAAGTTTTGGAACAACTTGTTTTAATTTCGGACGAAAATGTTTAAATGTCATTAAAATAGAGGCAGTTTTCTGCATATGCCCTTTTGCTGGGAACATTTTGGTGATTTTTTGGTGACGAGTTGATGTCTTAAATTTACCTATTATTTGTTGCTAACATTATGCCCTATTGGGAGAATGGATATAGTATGGTAAATGGAATGGTAATTGTCGGGGGGGGGACACAATAAAAAAAAAACGTGCACAAACTTATTACCGTATCAAGTACTACGTTTAAATTGTTCCACTTTACAAGATCAAGATCTACAAGATCTTCATTTTGTAATCACGTGATTGTATAAAACAGCGCGTGTAAAGCTTTTCTACTGTCTGTTCTCCATTTTGCAGTGACATTTAGTTCATACAGAGTGTTCCAAACAAAGTGCAACATTCAGAAAACAAATAATTAAAACTGTTCATTTTTTTTTTCAAGGAAATTATATGTTACATTAAAGCTTGACTATTTCTCAATCCTTTTTACCCCATTCAATTTGGGTCCCCAGATCCAGAAATACAATTATCAATTAAGAGAAAGGGTGTAAATTTTGCTGGGGCCACTCTCACCTGTGATGTCACCAACTTCAATCAACGCATATTCAATGCCTATTCAATGCTTAACCCAGATTCAGCACGTCCAGGTGAGAGAGGCCAATGTAAAATTTACACCCTTTCACTATAATTGATTGTATTTCTAGATCAAGGGACCCAAATGTAATGGGATGAAAAGGAGACAGTGTATTGAAAAATAGTCAGGCTTTAAAGTGATATATGATTTCATTGAAGAAAAAAACATTGAACAATTTTAACTATTTGTTTTCTGAATGTTGCACTTTTTTGGCACACTCTGTATTGGCTGAAATTCCGATTTTAAAGTTAGTTTCTAACTTTCCAACATGTAGGAAAGTTAGAAAACTAATAACCTTAATATCGGCAGATTTTTTTATTTCTCTGAAAAAAATGGGGGGGGGGTATCCAGTGGCCCATTCCCCTTGGACAAAAATTGGGGAGGGGGAGGTATCCTCCACCCCCTCCCCCCACCGACCCCCGGATTTACGCCCTTGGAGTCAAATGTTTAATACAAAATGTACAGAGATTTCTTGTATGGCTCTTCCATATTTAAAACGCATCCCTGCATAAAGCATACAAACATGTCCTGATTCCGTTTACAATGTTAACATAATATTACAATCTGAATGATCACACAGCATTCGCTCGTACCCCCGCCCTGCAAACAGGGCGCTGGGAAGGGCAGATGAGCTTCACAGAATCTTGTGAAGGAAGTTGGGGATGGCATTCTGGGTAATTTATCATGACCATCTGGCTGCAGCTGTAGACCGCGGTTAGCCAATGCGCGAAAATACTATCCGAAAAGTTTGCTATACACACCATACACACCATACCGGATGTGATTCTTTTTCATTGCGGACTATGTGGACAAATTTTGAGCGTCGAATTATACTGCATTTTCGACCCTTCGTGAATTCGAAACGGAGCCTGACTCTGCCTGAGCAACTGACGGGATTTGAAAATTTACAAAACAGATAAGTTTTAAGGATGTTCCTACATTATTATGCTTTTCAACCAAAAAAAGGCGCCGCAATTATGAATGGGAATAAAAGAGTGATGAAAGACTCAGTCTTAACGGCCGTTTCAAACCTTGCAGGGTCGTGGTCGTGATGACTTGCAGGTCACAGGTCACGCAAAATCTATCCAATCAGAGCTTAATTTGTCAGCCCTTCCCAGCGTCCTGTTTGCAGGGCGGCGGGTACGAGCGAACACACAGCAGAGTATCTTGTTGGCGATGACGCCGAATACCACCTGACACTATCTAGCTCAATTGATGTTACATTACCAATTTCCAAGACTAAAACTATCACATTTTTTCCTAAATCAGGTGTCAGAACTGCAATTAACAAAAATTTTCTTATAAAATTCCATATGGTCCCGACTCAATTTGTCCTGTCTGTTGCCAGTTTCTCTGAATTTAGCAATTTATCGAAGACTTTGGAAACCATTTATGAAAAATAAATCATAAGGGTTAAGTCACAATGTCCTTAGAATATGTTCGAGCTTATTGTCATAAAATGCATGCTGATGATAAGTGTGATTTTAGGGCCGTGAGTGTGACACAAGATTTGACATTACGTGATACGCCCCTGATTTTTGCCGTCGTCGCGATGATTTTGTGGACACGGGCCCCATAGCCCTATTTTGAAGGGTTGTGTAACCGGAACTTGAAAAAGACGTATTTTGGGGGTGATTTTTATAAGATCAGAATTTTTGGTTGGACAGGTGGAACTTGACATTGAAATAAAAGACAAAGATGCCTTATCACTTTGTGCGAAAAGAGAGTTTTAAATCCATATTTGCCAGTTTAGTTTTCATTTGGTCGACAATTAGGAACGCGTATGTTGCTATTGGCAAGCTTCATTTTCTTCTTGGAAAACAACTTAAAAAGACACTTGTGTGCACCTACCAAAGAGTAAGGTGTAAGGGCGGCATTTCCAGGTCAGACAGAGGAAGGCATACACCGAGATGACATGCAGTGCGGCCATCAGCACCACGTTACGCCAGACGATCCTGGTCCTGTCTTTAGAGGCGTCTCCAGGCTGAGACTTGGCCGTGACATCACGGGGTGGAACCTCGGCAGTGGCTGGCATGTCAGGGTCATCGTCATTGGTGGCTGTCACAGTGTCATCTTCCGTCGGTGCGCTGCCTTCGTCCTGAACGACTTCCACGGGGCCATAGACGGGATTCTTCGGCGCCATGGCTCACTAGTTGTTGGTCTGAAACTGAAAGCATTATAGATAGATATAATGTGTTAATTTGTATTCTGATGTATTCTAATGTTTATAACATTGAGTTGTAAAAAAAAATGTTAAGCTTATTAATAGCCGCGTTCGCATTGGACTTAGTTTTGTAAAAAGTTACTGCGGGTGATGGTTAACATTCAGTTGTGGTAATTCTACCGTACGTCCGTACTTGAATTAATTATTGTGCCCTGCGAAAAGTTATTCGTTTCGTAAACTTTACCGTACCGATGTGGTTGTGGAAAACACGCCGAACTATAGACTGTACACGTTCAACTTTTGTATTTATTATTGATGGAAAATTCCAAGAAAATTGCCAATTTACCGCCGTGAAGTAAAGTTGATTTAAATGGGAATAAAATTGGGTTTTGGGTTTTGTTATCAGCATCAGCAGGACCGTTTGTCATTTTTTTTTTACTTTTTGGGATAGGAGTCAAAATGATCTGAGGACCGAAGGCTCTGCGAACTTAGGCTATGTACATTTTTGACTTTATCTTGCGACCAGCATGACTACGGTCTTGTAAGTTGTAAGGGAAAATTCTGTTGATTTACACCGGTATGGATATCAATACCTGTGTAGGTACATAATGCCTAGAGCGTATTTCAGAGACAAATTTGAAAAACGCGAATACAACAAAGAAGGTTTAGCTCTTCTTCCTCAGTTCTCGTGAACTTTAAGTGAAATTAATTGATAAAAGATGCCGCTTGTCTTTGTACTACTACCCACTGACACACTGTCAGTGGCGCAAATAAGTTCCTGGGACTGAGGGATCACTAAATATAAAAAAATTGTCCGGCCGTGAAAATTCCAAAAGCGGGGGGGGGGGGGGGACGCTTGCTGGACACAACACAATGACACCAGGGAGAGTTGTTCATTAGGCCAAAAAAAAAGTCTCCGGTTTCTGGTATGGAGCTTGCCCAAAAAGTGGTGGGGCGAAGCGGCTTTTTTTTTTTTTTTTAGCTGATTTTTTTGCTTCAAATGTCGGCTGTTGACTGCAAATGGTGCCCGACTAAACTTAGTGCAAATATATGGGAGTCCAGAGAGGCCACATAAAGCTTATTCTCGACCATAACCCAATCTAAAAACTTGTTAAAATTGTGCAGCAGCAGGATTCCAGTCAAACCAGTGAGTTTGGCGGTTTTGAGACATCATCTTTCATTGAAAAAAAAACTTTTTCATTTTGCCGACGCGCATGGCTACGGCGACGCGCGCGCATACCAGAAACCGGAGACTTTTTTTGGCCTTAAACAGATGTACATCATGTATACCTACGCCCCTTGACCGTACATCAAAACGGCGTATTTAAAGCTGTTGTACTTTTTCTCCCTTTTTCAGTACTCTATTGAATACATTTTGGTTGTAGGGAAGTTAAAAAATACCTCAAAATCTGCCCTTTTTTGTCTTCTCACCACGTGGGCAAGGGGTGTGTGATCCAATAGCCCATCCCCCTTGGTCAAAAATTGGGGGATATATAACCCCACCCCTCCAAGGGCGGATCGGGGGGGGCAACGGAGGCCATGCCCCCCTCCCCCCCCCCCAAAAAAAAAAGAACCAATTTTTTTTTTTTTTTAAGTGACGTCGCAATAAAGGCAGGCACTGCGTAGGCCTACACCACCATCTTTTCCTAAAAAATAATTGGTCAAAGTGGTCAGAAATTGCCTCAGATCGCACCACAGAGCATCTAGAATCCAAAAATTCGAACCCCACGCCGTGATTTTTTGGACCCACTTTTTGGGTGACCAATTTTTTTTTGGCCCACCCCCCAAAAAAATTGTGTTCTTGATCCGCCCTTGCATCCCTCTCCCCGGATTTACGCCCCTGAACACCGACATTTCGATCAGCGAAAATGAATATCTAAATGCAGTTCGAAATGCAACCTATTGTACATACAAACGGCACAAAGGTATAAAGATGGCCTGGTTAGGTCAAGGATTAAACCAGGAAAAAAGTCTGGATAAGGAGAACGTGCAAATCCTATTGGAACTTCGTGCAGAACAAAACTAATATAGGCCTAGTGATAGGAAAGGCGTGGATTTCATGACAACAATTTAAAACTTTGAAATTCACCTATTTTGATCAGTACAAGAAACTGTTTATACAACGCATAATATATTCTTTACCATCGTTAGCAAAAAAGTGAATACATAGAAAAGAATTAAGTGATGAAGTTTGAAAAAAGCACAAAAAAATATCCTCTGTTTCACCCGTCACAAAAACAACAGGTGGGACAGCATATTATCACCTGTATAAATCACATCATTTAAGTGAATTAGAAACCAAAAACCACAAAATGCGCAAAACAAACCTTGCGTCGCCTAGGGGCCTACACCGGAGACAGTTTTTGTTTAAATCCCGCTCTCTTGGAATCACTAACCTAATAGGCCCGCAGGCGGTTTATGCGTTGACAAGTTAACCCACCCACCGCCACCACCTTGTATCGGAACCGGAACTTCCTAAATGCGTATTTTACATATTCAAATACCCTAACAAAATAATACACTCTGGCCAGCTCAATTATGTAACTACACTGGTATCCATACCAGTGTAAATAAACAGAAATATTCTCTATCAAAAATGTTCGCACAGCCTTCGGTCCTCAGATCATTAATTTTGACTCCTATCCCAAAAAGTAAAAAGAAAGAGGAACGGTCCTGCTGATGCTGATAACAAAACCCAAAACCCAATAATTTTGGGGTTTACATTCGTCGCGGGACTTACAGTCATTTTGGGGTTTACATTCGTCGCGGGCCTTACAGTCATTTTGGGTTTAGTTTATTTTGTGTTTTATTGTACATTTAACACAATTTTTTTTTATTTTTCATTGTTAATTGTACGTTATTGTTTTTGTTTTTTTTGCATTTTAGTTTATTTCATTTTTGCTTTACTTTAATTTTGTGATTGTCTTTTTTGCCCTAATGGCCGCCCATACCGAACAATATCACAGAACTACAGCAGAAATACAGAAGGCTCTCACGTATAGAGTCTAGGCGATGACTGCGTTTCAGAGTGACCGTTTTAGCCGATTTTCGGCTAACTTTGACAGATTTTTTGTTAAAAACGAGTTTGACAGAAAATTTGACCGAATGAATTTTTTTGGCAGACTTCGGGATGAATTCTGCAAAAATGGTTATTTTGACCAAAAAAACAGCAAATTTTCAAAAACGGTACATTTGTTTACAAAAGCTTCAATCTTTTAAAACAGGTTGTCTGGTCTAGGTGCTGAGGTTCAAACCGGATTTCGTCGTGATGCACCAGCATTTTGCCTGAAATATACACAATTTCATATTATCTTTATGTGGCTATAGATTGTTTATAATGTAATTTGAAAATTAATTCAGGCAGTATTACAGCATCTGCATGTGATGTAAGTGTTTATAGTGTATTTCGAGTAATTCTGGGGAATTTGGCAGACTTTTGATGAATCTGACCGATTTTTGCAGTGCATTTAACAGAATTTAGTCATGACCTGACGGTCACCCTGCTGCGTTTGTGAATTGCAGAGGTCAATACGGTAGGGCCCTGTCACACTTCTGCGTATCCTAATTCCTTATGAGTTGCGCATTGACATTTTGTTCATACGCAGTCGTTCGCACAATACGCACCTCATATGCATCTCTATCGTTTTGTGTAGGTTTTATGTACGCAGATATACGCATGGTACGGCCCAGTACGCTGGATAGTTTTGGGCATGCACAAAACTACGCTGCGTACGCTGTATGTTACGCAGGTCATAAGTTATAAATACGCAGCGCATCGGTCCCGCATCGGTCGAGCGCGGTACGAGTACGTTATGTGTTCGTGAGGGATAAGCCGTTCATACGCGGCAATACGCTGACCTCCTATATTGGACGTATACATAGCGACGTATTGCACGAATTAGTACCGCTCGTCCTGCGAGCGGGCAGCGCATTGTACTTATTCGTAACTTGTGAGAAACGCACAGATGGCGAACTTGCGCACTGCATACGCAACTCATACCCATCTCATACGCAATGGATGCGCTGAATTCGTTACTTTTACGCTAGATGTGCGTCGCACATAAGTCAAAGTGATCAAAACATTTCGACGTTAATTGAGCGTACGGCTGCGTATTGAAAATTTTTGATAAGGAACTCATAAGGAATTAAGATACGCAAAGGTGTGACAGGGGCTGTACGGAAGTGGCTGTCATCCGCACGAGACTTTTCATCGAAGTAAAACATCACAATGTAATTCTTCCACGGCCGAGTTGGCCCTGAAAACTTAACGCTTGACAGTTTGGGAAGTTTACCGGCTTCAATCTGCACTGAACTTAATGTGACAACAGTATCGTCTGCAAATTTGAAAACAGACCCCAGTAGGTTTAGTCTGGCTCAGACCTAAGATTCTCACTATTTCTGATGAATCTTAGGTCAGGTAGCCGTCAGTGTCATGTGACCAAAACGGGAGGAATGCTTCCCGTTTCCGAAAATGTCCGAAGTTTGCCGAATGCATTTCGTCGACACCCTCGGATAGCGCCCGGGTGTCTCCGGGGATAAAATAGGTTGTACTTACCCTGTCGTGCTATAACAAAATAACATGAGTTCATCATTAATAAACATTGCTTTCATAAAAAAGAGGAAATTCAGTGAGGACTTTGTGCCAGTCAAGTATGCACTCGGATCGTACGAGGGGCGAGCTGTGCTGCGTCATATTTATGTACATAGAGTTATATTTAAATATAATTCTGTGGTCATGTACTACATGTACTTTGAATCTGACGACGGTTGCCTAGGGGTATTTCAAAATTCGGCTTCGTCTCTATTTCGGCTTCACCTGCTATGTGGGTCCCTAATTTTGAAGATTCCAGCTCAACATCAGTCAATGTTTTCTAACAGAAATATCAAAATATATGATATATGAAGCAAGTGATTTTTATTTCTTAATTTGATCGGAATATTAAAAGCTTTTAATGATAATTCCAAACCGGAAACGAAGCCCCGCTTTGTAAAAGGGACATCATGTCTATTTTTTAATAGTCCGTGGAGGCTGTCTGACCTACAGTACAATAGAGCCTGAAAGTACGCCATTTCGTCTTTGAGGTTCCGGACCCCTCCATGACCCTTCTATGGGCATATTACACGGGGTTGCCCTCTCTCTTTCTATAATTTTTGACAGAACGATGTCTAACAGTAATCACCCCAGAAACATTCATGTTGGAATTTTATCTTGGCATTTCACAAGAAAAAATGATCAGAAATCTGTTGGCGACTCGGGTAAAAAAAAAAAAATTACATAGCGAACTTGTGTGAGAACGAAAAAGATAACGACGCGAACATTTACCTATACCTACATCCGATGGATGCTAGATTTAGTCGGGCTTGCTTGAATACAGGGCCCAATTTCACGGCGCGGCTTATAGCACAAAAATTTGCTTAGCACAAAAAAATCTGGCTTATAAAAGCAGGTTACCAGCAAAGTCGACTCCGGACTTGCTGACACACGGAGTCGCACGGCGTATGAAGCGCTATATAAATGTTAATTATTTGTATTTATTATTATAAAAAATGCATGCAGTTATAATTATATCAGACGTCCAGTCTGATCCTCAGACTAGCTTAACCCAGGAGAATTTTTTTTTCTTAAATCAGTGACGTAACAATATAACTATCTAGGGGCTGCGGAACTGTGGGGGGGGGGGGGGGGGGGGCACTTGCCCCATATTTTTCAAGGCCAACAAAATTGCCCCTCTCGCGGTTATAGATGTGTCCCTCGAGTTGAAAACAAAACTGCCCCTCAACCGCACACGTACAGGCATTATGATCGCGCTACAAATAAATTTTCTCCTCTAGTTTTAATGCAAAACTGCCCCTCAAAAACACAAGAACCCCTCTCGCATTGTGCAGCTTCTCGAAATGGAAAACTACCCCTCGAAAGCACAAATACCACTCTCACAATAATAAAAGTGTGCCCCCTCTAAGATGGAAAAGTGGCCCCTAACAAATAAAAGTGCTCTTCGTGCGAATAAAATGGTCACTGAACTGGCCATCAAAAACAACAGTGCCCCTCTCGCGATAAAAAAAAATGGTCTCTCTACATAACAAGGTAAAAGAAACACAAAGAGCAAGATGGACAACGTATTCATGATTTTTTCCTCGTCGTAAAGGTTTATACTGGCGAAATGAACGGGACCATATTCTTTTCCTCCACTTTCACACCGACGGAAGGTGCCCCTTTCTCTGAGCAAGTGCCCCTTTTTGGTGTTCCCCCAGTTTGAAAAGCGTTCCGCCACCCCTGGAAATGTCCATGCGTGCGCAACCGTTAGCACATCCACGCCATGAAAACAATTTTCTGCCGTAGTAAGCACAACTTTTCTGCTAACCGCAGCGCCATGAGTAAGTTTTGTTTTGGATTTTTAGAAGACCATATTTTGTGGCCGTATTACGGACACAAAATTAAAAAGAGACAGCAAGCGTCCCACGAGCAGCATGCATGGACGTCGCCAGGGCGGGGGCGCACTTGTAATGAAAAAAAAGAGAGAGAAAAAAAAGAAGACGCGGTGCAAAACCCTATTCAAAAGTTTTGTTTGGGTTTTTTTAATACCATATTTTGTGACCGTATTACGGACACAATAGAGACTGCAAGCGCGCCTGTTGAAAGGTACATATCCGCATCCATGGACGTCGCCAGGATGGGCGGGGGAGGGCGCTTGTAAAAGAAAAAGAGGGGGAAAAAAGGAAGAAAAAGACGACGGATGCAAAATCATATTGCTGTTAATTTAATGCACATTATTTTAACAACATGGGCGTCCATAGGGGTGTCTCCCCCTCCCCCCCCCCTGCCAACCCTCGAAATATGATAAAATTGAGAATATGCTAGAGAAAGTACAAGGACATTTGGAAATAATGTGCTTTAATACCCCCCTCTGACAAAAAAATCCTGGCGACGCCCATGTCAGTATCCCGCATATCCCAGAGCACCGGCCGTAGGTAATTTCAATGCGAGCGAACGCGTTCTCCGACTATGCTTCTTTAGTGCCATTGTAACAACCAAAGCAAAAGAAAACACGACGTAAACAAAAAGTCACATCAGTTGAACGTGGCCTATTTCACAACATAGGTTGAAGGCCCATGATAGTTTTATGTTGGTCATTCGATATAACACTGCTTTTTATTATTATTGATAAGAAAAACTGAAATTACCTTAAAACTCTCGGTAGTCCAAAAGTAAGTGAGATTCCGGCAGACGTCGCTGTTATATTTATTGAACGAAAACAGTTAAGAACACACGAACTGCATTAAAAATTCAAGAAAGCACTACACTATTGCTGTTCGCGGCTTCCTGCTGTCGCATAGTAATACGTACTGGGTCTAGTATACTCGTCGATCATGCACAATAAAAGCGCGTGTGGAAATAATCGCATCACTCGTCGTCTGCATGCACGCATGTATGTAATGTACAGTACATGTACACGTATTATGTACATGTACGTATAGGCCCTATGCATTACTTGGGAAACTGGTGCCCCGTATTCACGATTCACACAATAACACGCGACTGGCGTGATGTCTCGTGACAAACTTTCGCAAGGTTGACACTGCTGGAATTATGCAATGCGCTTGCATGGCCATGATTCAAGAATGCGGGTAGTACAATCGTAGAAAGGACAGTACAATTATACATTATCATACAAACAGTTTATTTTTGTCTGACTGTGTTATTTATTCGTGTGTGCCCTTGAATGCCGGAGTCTTCAAGTCGCTGCCTTGGGCCAATTATACTTAATTATATTCTTGGCTAAGAACGGCAGTGTACAGTGCATGGGCGTACGTGTTTTTAACTTTAAAAAAAACCACGTATATGACCAGGAGCGTGTACAAACCACGTTGAAGGGGTGGGACGTGGGGGGGGGGGGTGTTGACAATAAATTTGCCGACAGACCATCCGTGCTAACAGGAATTATCCACGGACACCTGCCCTCCTCAAAACCGAAAAGCGGGGGGGGGGGCGAGGACCGTCTTCCTATAGGAGGGGAGCTGGACACCGTCTTCCCGACAGTTCTTGCATGACAAAAATGCCAAACATGTTGAAATGACCATAAGTCTTTCATTATTTCACTTTTGGTTTAAAAACATTTAGCCCCAACTAAAAAGTGGGTACTAGTGCCCTCTCTATCGGTATCTCTGGATGCCAAAATAAACTAACAAATTTGAAGGTATTAAAATGTCGATTTTAGGCCACAAATTCTATTTTTGACCCAAAAATGGGCAACAGATCCCTCTTGTCCCTGCAGTGCATTGTGCAACTAAATGACGTCACATTGTAGAGTAATTACCGGCCAATAACATTCCTCGTCACATAATGGAATTCTAGGATGGGGCACGATGTGCAGCCAGCCCCCCCCCCCCCCCCCCCCCCCGCCCTGGTCCTGAGGAGATGATACCCCGGTCCTAATCGGGTCAAATATTGAGATCATGTTTAGTCTGTAGAAATTCTACGTTTTATATTTACATCGCAACATAATTGGATGTGGATGTGATGAAATCAGTTTGGTAATAAAGAAACAGTGTCCTCTTCAGCTTATCCAATCTGTTTCCACCATACTTGTTCGCTATTTCACCTGAATTGTAATCCTTAGGACGGATGATAATCAAGCACAAAGAGAAGAGAGCTTTCAGCTTAAGCTTTTTATTGAACAAAGGTTTTTATCATTGTTATCCATCAAAATAAATAATGTTCCAATACACTTTTCTTTCTATTTATTATTTTTGTTTTAATTATTAAAATTAATCCATATGTTTCAGACCAGTATTGAACGGGAAAAAAACACGATTAAAGATTAACTCAACTGCACAAAAAGGTCATCTTGCAGAACTTTCGACTGTCAAGCATATAAATATGCTTTATAACAATGCTAACACAATTTATTTCTAAAACAATTAGTTTTCAATCATCCCACATAGTAATCATCCGAAATTTACACAACACTTACAGGTTGCCTTTTTGCAAAACAATCCAGTATTTCTCAATTTTCAAAATCAATCAGGGTGCCAAATACCGCCAGGACACATTTTTTTGTACCTCTCATCAATATATCTCATAGGAAATGTTCCCCGACCTCTTACTACCTAATTATATGGCTTCATGTCATTTTTAATTCATCACATGTACTGGCTTACATACAGAACGGACACATGCAGTAGTACTTTGCAGAATTTAGCTCTATTATATAGGAAACACTACGAAAAGCGAATGTGACCAAACCAACTCCACATCTGCCTTTAATCCTCAAACATTTGAAAGAATTATACAATGAAGAGAACCAAACAACGTTATCATTAATTTTCATAACTTTAAAACTAACAGGTTGATCTGTCATCTCAAAATTGACGAAACAAACAAGAAGCAAACAAAAGTCCGTCAAAGACAACCTAATGTTGTCTAATCGCATCCCACCGCTGCCACCTGTGAGCCTGTGCGCTTCTTCCTCGCTGATATGGTTGCCTTAGGGACGATCTTCCTATCAGATACTTGACCGATGGCAGCCATCAGATCGATGAAGATGGTAGTGAAGTTAATTCTCCAGCCCCACTCGCCTGCCTTGTAATCCCAAGGGAAGGTGTGATGGTAGTTGTGCCAGCCCTCACCGATGGCTAAGGAAGCGACGAAGCGATTCTCGGCCGGGTTAATGAAACGATCGTAGGGTCGAGACCCCCACAGGTGGGCAGCGCTGTTGACCATCCACGTGCAGTTGAGTAGGAAACAGTAGCGTAGCACGGTGGGAACGCAGAAGGCATTCCAGAAGCTTTCTCCCCACAGATACATGGGAACAATGGTCGGCATCACGAAGCAAAAGAAGGTCACCAAAGGCAGGTAGTACCTGAAAACAATAACAAGCAATAGGGGATAACAATCAATAAAGCTTCAATGTGCAAACCAACTAAGATGCGAAATTTTTCACTGAAGCACTTTCTTCTTCTGGGTAACTGTTTTAACACAAATTGTGGCCACAAAATATTTCTGATGGGAAAGATGTTTTCTTATTAAACAAAAAAAACCTAAGGGGACAATTACAATCAAAACACTCACTTCCTCTGGTATCTGACCACTGGGTCATCAATGAGATCACGCAGGTTAATCCTGGAGCCTTTCTCGATGACCTTTGGGTGTTTACGGACCAAGAGCCAGCCAACATGGGAGAAGAAGAACCCTCTTGTGGCGTTATGGGGGTCAGCATCAGTCTCCGAGTACTTGTGGTGAACTCGGTGATCACGAGACCAATCATAGATGTCATTCTGATGAGCAGAAATAACGAGAGTGTAATGGTTACACCATATCTCTGTTCAAACAAAATTCTGTTATTTTCCATAAAAAGTTATTGCAGCAGCGTCGCTAGATACTTTGCTTTTTTTAAGTTTTACATCAAGGGTTGTAAAATGATTTTGCAGAAGTGTTGTATAATAATTTTACACTAAATCTGTAAAATAACTTTTATTTTTAAGTTGTTATTACAACACAAAAAAAATGCATTTACAAATCTGTTGATCCGGTTTTTGACTAATGTACAAATACAGATCTGTGCATATTTCTCTGTAAAATTACAGAATGTTTTTACAGTGTGTGTTTTAATGATTTAGAACGAAAACATCATGAGCTGAGTTATCCAGGTGTCGATCTGGGGCGTTCATTGGGAGTTAGCTGTAATATGTCCGGAAAAACAGGCAGACGTGTTGGCCAACATGTTTGTTTTTAGGGGGAGATACTAACACAATTTTTGTTAACGATATGATTATTTCCCGCACAGCCAAACAGGTATAGAAAGTGACAAAAAGACGGGTTGATACATGTATTGCCGAAACATATAGATTTTGAAATGTCTCATTACCTGGAATGCCATGCAGTTGAACATGGCCAGAAGAAGCCGTAGAGGGAGTTTTGCTTTGTAGCATCGATGGGCCCACAGACGATGAGCTCCAGCCGTAATGCCCAGGCCAGAGCAGACGTACATACCAACAGCTGCAATGATACATTCAACAGATCAATAATTGCGCTGAATTTACACTTGTTTTCTTTTTATAGGAGCGTCTTGAACTTTTCATTTCTCTAAAATGAATTTGTTTATAAACCAACCATAATGGTTTAGAGAAAAGTATTTTCTGATGATCTCTTGGGATGATAATAGAAAGTAGGTGTAAAAACTCACAAATAGGGTGACGCTATGCATCAATTATGTTTGGAATTTTCCACTTACTTCACGAGATATTTGAATCAGGGCCAACAATTTCAGACCAATCGTCTACGAGTAAAGTAACAATCTGTCATCAATTGATCCCTGCTCTCGGTACATAATTTTGATTTTGTTATTTGGAACGGAAATGCACGGAAACCCAAAAATGAATGCAATTATGTCGAGAAAAAGAAAACATAATTTGATGTGAATTTCGACAACTGCGTGAATTGTAATGTGCCATTACAATAATAAACAAAATGTTCCTGATTTTAAACAGTAACAATCTTATATCCATTTGTTTGTGGATAAAACAAGTAATCTCATAAGTATATAGGGAGAAAGAGCAGCCACTGATCGGCGTTATGGGGACGAGGCTACATGTGATATATTTTTTCAACTCCAATAAATTGTGCTTTAAAATGTTGTCGTTGGAACTTAGAATGGGCTCAAACATTTAAAAAGCACATGCAATGTAATTTTTTTATATAATCCTTGAAAATGATGATTTTGCCATTTTAAGGGTATTTTGGAAGCTATAAAAATATGCAAATTTCCACAGTAATGAGCAAAACTGTGATTTCATTCCGGCCAGAAACCTGAATATAAGCTATTTCAGAACAAATGTTGCCTAACCTTTGAATATTTTGCTGTCGTTTTTTCTTTGGTGATTCGTTGTTGTGGCAGTACGCCAATGAGCAAACCTTTTTCACAAATGTTTTCAACAAGCAAATTTTGGATTGTAAATTTAACAGAAAACAACTGAACAGTGTCTTCCTGAAATGACATCACAGTAACAGCGCCCTCAGTTCTCGTTGTTCGGAAAAGCATGGAACATTTTAAATGTTTAAAGAAGTGCAGTTTTCAAGAAACTTAACAAACAATGGATGTCAAATAGTTTTAGCACATTTAACAGGAGTAGAAAAGTGCACAAGATGTGTTCCTATTGGGTGCAACCCTGCAAAAAAAATCCCATAGACACTAGTGCTAAATGCGCATACTCCAAAATTCTTTTTAAAATACTCAAAACTCTCACAGGTATTCAAGCTGCACAGAAAAATGATGATCAATGTGTCATCTTTCATTTTCTATTCATTTTTTGGTGGGTTGACCATTGACTTTTCGAGATATTCTCACCCAAAGAAGACGACCCCTATTTTCCCCAAAGCGGAAAAGTAGCCATCTTGAAACACGATCCCTCCACAACATGGCAAAATAGCGCCAGTTTCGA